GGGACCATGGGCTTCCTGTACACTAAAGGTCGTCCATACCACGCCAATGGTAAATACCGAATAGCTTCAATGACGCTTTCCCCAAAGCATCGTGCATGAGCTGAATCATACCGGTGTCTTCATCTCCCTTCAAAGACTCATCGAAGTGCTCCAAAGCGAAGTCATCAGACACGTTGGCAAAGTCGTAGGTATACGGACTGAAGTCACACGAGTTGATTGGTATTCTACCCATAGTGTAGCGGAGTCCACTCTGGCCAAAGTACCTACACCGAAAGATCATCATCATCATCATGATCATGGATGTTGGGACAGACACTCACAATTCGATGAATTTGCGTTTATCATCATCACTCAACTTCTTGTAATTCACGCCAGATGCCGCTGTGAATGCACCCCCAAAACCTTCGACAGGTCTAGGATTCAACGACGCTGAAAATGAACGGATACAAGTCTGTTCCGAGACCATGCGTGCTGTGGCCAGTTGAACAACACTTTAACAGAAGTGAATACTCATCGATGCTACATGTTAGCTTACCCGTATTCAACTTGACATGATAAGTAGCTGCCGGACCTTGGTCAATTGTGATGGACCGACGTGTCATATTACCACCATTTTGCGAGGTGACAAACCTAAAGACAATGAGCCCGAGGCGAAGGGTGATGCTTCCTTACGCTGCAGCCCCAGTCGGTGAAGGCGTAGTACTCACTACAGGAGTGCTCGGTACAGGAGTGCTCACTACAGGAGTGCTCGGTACAGGAGTGCTCACTACAGGAGTGCTCGGTACAGGAGTGCTCACTACAGGAGTGCTCACTACAGGAGTGCTCACTACAGGAGTGCTCGACACAGGAGCTCTGGTGCTGGTAGTACCCTTAGAAGAACTGCAACCAGATAGAGTTAGCAGGCTAACTATTGATGGTACTGTGAGGATTGTTGGCAGTAGTAGGCCTCGCATTAGTCACAATAAGAGAATCCTACATAGACAGCGCGACGGTTTTCTGGTGGAAACAACTGCGACGTATTATGCGAGGAAGAGAGCACGGCGGGTAAGCCCACTACACCCACAGATGCTGAGGGAAGACAAACACGGGTGACGGCGTCACCACTCCACGGAGACGGCGTCACCACTCCACGGAGACGGCGGTCACGATACATAGAGTCAGGTATATGAGTACATCCCGTGAGGACACGAAGAGAGAGGGCGGGATGGAGGAAACCACTGTCATGATTGATGCTAGAGTTACGACTAGTCGAGTAACAAGCCACCGCACAATCCATGCACGTGGCGCCGCACGTGAAGTGGGTCAGAAGCACGTGTGCATTGTTCGTAGCATGTTGATCACTGTTGCGGAAAGGTGAGATAACTTAGTACGATTACTCACAGCCTAACTGTTCCGCAAGTGTTAGTAGGGCTTATTTTCAGTCTGCTCCATAAGCAATGCTCAGCCTTGCCTCCAGCCACCGTATATGCGAGAATAGGGCTTGCAAACACAGTCCCGATCGCAGCTTCCCACCCAAAACTCGTTAACTCAACTCGTCCCGCCCTACCGACTTCATCTGTGGCCATCAGCCAGTCATACACAGTTGAGGATTGCACGTCAAGATGCGGACAATGAGAAACTATCGGATGGCAGAGGGTGGGCAAAAGGAGCCAGCACACTCACCAGCAACTGATAGATGAGGTAAAGTGTCAATAGCCTCACAGTGAGGATTAGAACCAGCCCGTAACTAGCTTCGTGGGCGAGCGCGTCACGGGCCAGTGTTTGCACCACTCTACACTCCACAAGCTTCGTGTAGGGTAACAGGCAAGAATTTGCAAAGTGTCCTGGGCAACCGCGCGCGCCTTGTGATTATCGAATTTTGAAGAGATTGAACCTCCTTCCCCCACTGGTTCCAGTGCCTTATCGAGGCGTGGGGGTTACTGGTATGCCTAGACATGCCAGACCGAAACTGGGACCGAGCTGCCACTGCTTGTAGAGCAATGCTCTCACATCCACTCTACGAGTGCGATAACAAAGCATGGTCTGCTCATGTGCTCCCCCATCCTTTTGTCTCTCTTGTAGCGCCCAATGCCTAGTAGATTCCGCCGCAAGATCAACCGACATTGTCATCGGCAACGAGCCCACAAGCGTCGACTACGCATCCACCCACGAGTTCATGTTCTCTCCTATAACGTTTCGGGTCTCGCATCAAGCCGCTTAGAACTCGTCCGGTACCTCAAGCTGACACAACCCGAGGTGGTCTGTCTCCAAGAAACACATCATGGTCCTTCCAACTCCTTACGGTTTCCTGGTTATACCGTCGAACATATTATGGGGACACATATTAACCCTCGAGGAAGACTAAGTGGTGGTCTTATAATCCTGATTCGCAGTGGTCTATCCTATACACGAACCTTAACTCGTGACTACAGTGACACTGACAACTCTTATATGGCGTTGGGAGTCCTTCTCCGTCTCCCACGGGCTCCTCCTCTGAACATAATCAACGTCTATTTTCGACCAGGACTTCAACTACAAGACGTCTTGCTCCCTGAACTTCCTGATGAACGTTGCCTGGTGGTTGGTGACATCAATGCACATCACCCAACTTGGGATGATGAAGCCTGCTCCCCAGTAGATCTACGGGGCCAACTTATATGTGACTGGCTTGACGATAACAACCTTCGCGTCCTACACCATGCCAATGATCTACCCACTTTTATGGGTCACCAAGGGTCCTCGACTATCGACATTGCGGCCGTATCACGCCCGTTAGCTGCTGGTTTCCATCGAGACATATTGCACAATGCCTTGGCCAATTCTGACCATATGCCCCTTGCTATCTCATGGCATGTGGGATCTCCGTTCGATGCATCTACTCGGCCACCCCAACGAACCAATAAGTGGAATTTCTCGAAGGCAGATTGGGCAGGATACAAGGCATCTCTCGATGACAATCTTCAACAGGTTCCATGGTCTGCTTCAGTTGATGCTATCAACTCTGCCATTACATTAAGCATCGTCCGGGCGGCTAGGGCCCACATCCCTCGAGGGTGTGTAAGTTCTTACAAACCCTACTGGTCAAGCGAGCTTGAAGTCCTACGTAAACAGAAGAATCGCATACGCCACACTCTTCAAGTCCGTCGTAAACGCCGACTACCGTGGGACCGACTCAAACGGGAGTTCTGGGCTATCTCCCGACAGTATGCGAAAGATATCCGTCAAGCTCAGCGAAATCAATGGGAGCAGTTCACCCACTCACTACCTCTCGCAACACGTCGCGG